TCTGAGAACTGTTGCGCAGTGCACCAAGAAGAACAACTATCTGGCACACACGTGCATACGTGCTAATGTACTCATGGGAAGAACAATGATGATTCAATGAATGCATTCACTGTACAGTACGAGTTCATATGTACTACAGTAAACTGTTGTGTCTTCTCTTTGTATTCTGTACGTACGAAACGTTATTAGACCGTGGGGGCGAATTCAGAATGGCGCGGAGGCGTGAGGAAAGTTCTAAAACAATCCCATTGATTTCTCCGATCACCCTCGGGTTCGGAATGGCCTGCATACACATACACACACACAAACAAAAATTCGTGGGTGAGAGTGCCATGTTTGAACCCCTCCCTCCCATTACAGTGAGTTCAGACTACCTAACGGCTAAAAATAATCCCAGATTTTGTATTCTTTTACCCATACGTATACACTGCCGTTTAGAAGCCAACACTAGAGAACGTTTCCGTCAGAATGGGAGCTCTTTTTCGATCAATCGAAATATAAATTTAAAATAAATGTCCCATCACATGACAAGTATGTGACGTGGCCTCAACGTGGACAAAAATTGAACGTTGTTTCCTATGCATCGATTACAGAGTAACGGATCACGTTCGTTTATCAACTGATAGCGGAAATAATATGCGGGAGTGAAAACCGACTTTACGTTTGTGTAAGTGTTGGTTCATACATGTTATTGACCAAATCAGAATACTTTAGCCAACAAACTTTGTCAACTATGGCCTTCGTGTGTTTGCGGTCTACAGCAAACCAGTCAGTGTATGGTGGCCTCAATTATCTATCATCCAAACTGGCATACATCTGAGTCGCTCATTCACAAGACTGACTTCCGTGGTTGTGGCTGCAATGTCCTCACGTGGCTCATCGATAACGTCAGTCAAGTTTCAACCGACCACCATCTAAATTGGGTAGCGTCATGGACGAATTTGTCTATCAGTCTACCACAAAAGCGGTGCGCAGTGGAGGATTGTTATTTTTTAAGATTACAGATGGGACATCACTAATTTGGCGTACATAACACTGAAATCTCATCAAAAACATACCATCGCAGTTCCTTGCCGTATCATGGGTAATGAATGCAGCAATCGATAATTATTCTTTGAAACTCAGCAATTTGCCCTCAGTGATCTTATTAATTTGTGATCGTCGAAATAAATCACCAACTATGTTACCTACTACACACAAATATCCGTAGCAATTCACAACATCAACACTCTCTTAACCTGAGAACAAATATGTTAATACATCTGGAGTAACAAGATATTTGACATTTTATGTTGGACAATGGTAAATCGCGAGATAAGATGCAACAATTTAGGTCCTCTCAACTGACGGTTAAACCGTATCACAGATCAGTACATTTATATTCACTCAAAACCGATGCTAACGCATAAGAAGGAGATCAATGCCCGGATAACTCAATATTTTAGCCAGCCTCAGGCATTAGATAAAACGGAAGTGAAAAATGACCAGGGTGGTGGCATCGCTTATTTTGTCGGGAGACCAAGTCTTAAATTTGGTGCTCCGTCTTCATGCAGAACATGCATCTGTTGGACATTAAAGTCCAATGTGAATAGTGTTCTTTTTAATTACTGTATAAAATTGCACACGGAAAATTGGATCAGCTGCCGCTGTTCAATCAATGCCAATCATATATTTAAACGGAATGACATTTCAACTCTTCCAAAACCACGCACAATGAGTTTCGACTCATGGAAGTAACCACAAACCAAGTATATCAGAATAATTTCCGGGGAGAGGAGAATTGACGATAAAACTCTATTTGAACAATCCGGAATCCTTGTTTGGAGCAGGAAAACTCCGCATGGCACTGATTAGAATCTCGAACAGATTCAGTCATAATTTGAGGCCACTTATTCACAGTTTGTGATAATCTAACTGCCAATATCCGGCATTAAAACACATGCCAAAGGATATCAAACACTTTTGACAACAACAATACTAAGTTACCAATGTGAACAGACATTCTCTTGCCTCTCTTTATTCTCGGTTGGTGCACATCTGTTTTCATGTAGATACAGATGTGGAACCGTGCTCGTATTGGGCTGCTCGACGTGGACACATCGGGTGCTTCGGTACCTACAGATTCCGAAAATATATTTGACAACGTCATACAAATAGAGACGAGAATGATTGTACCACGGGATCTCTCAGGGCTTCCCTGTGGAGATCAAAGATAACCATAAGGTGGCTCGAGTAAACGATACACTTGTATCATTGGGATCCTCACAGTCAATGCTAATGGCGTCCCATAGCCATCAGGCGGAATATAATAGCACATTGGCCGTAAGTTTATCTTCTTCGAGGGTCACATACAGTCATTGAAATTGATGACCTATCTGATTTACCGTTGAGAACGCCAGTACTTTAAAACAATCTAATATTGTGACTTAAACAGGAGCTCCATTTAGATGGAACAATGGAGAATCTAGGTTAGAACCGAAAAAAACTTTTATTCCTAATTCCCAGTGAGTACTATGCTCGCGTTCTACCTAAGTGATCTTCGCTTCGATCCCCAGTTGGGTCGATGGACCTGCTCTGTTGATGAGCACGAAGAAGCTCAAAACAGCTTTGCAATTCTTCCTTTTTCAGTTCTCGCCTCATATGCTCTTTCTTTACACGACGAAATCAAGTAGATAAATGGACAAAAGCTTATTGTGTTCACGACCAAAACACGGAGATCTCATGGTTCTGAAATGTCCTCTCCCTGCTAGGACTAAACTCGTGTGGTGATGGTCATCAATCGCTTTGCACGGGGGTTAAACACCTCGATTCCCAATTCGAAGAATTCCTTGTGGAGGTTCCAGCTCATCCAGGGGCACCAAAATATTACTCGTAACTGACCAGTCTCGTCAGATATGAAACAGCAATCGGATTTAAAATGCACTGCTTTGCGTAGAATCTAGGACCTCCCTGGGGAAGGAGGCCCACGCAAGAACACAATATACATGGCCAATAGACAAAAGGTGCCTAAACATACCAACTTTTCATCCATTAACCATCTCCATGCAAAGAATTGGTAAACCACCCCGGCACACATGATTTTCCATTCTGATCACCCAGACAGATGTGATCAGCTAAAAACGTTTTTACGTTTCTGTATTTTGTGTAATAAACACAAGGTGCAACGTAATACCAAAACAAAGACCGGCGGGAATTTCGCTCACACTAGGTTCCTTGTTGTGCTCCAGGGAATTCGAAGGGAAATGTTGCCACTGTTTGAATCGGATGAGATCAAAGTTATATCCCTGGATGACCTTACTACGCAGATCAGTTTGGATCACAATACACGGTCCGGTTGCAGAGACATCATCGAAAAGCACGTGCTGTATATCTTTGGGGTTTCGGGCGTAATGGGTGTTGTATTAGAGACCGGAATATGAAAAATCCGTTTTTCTGAACATACGACGGGAGGTGAATATACCCGAGTGAGATGTACGTTGTATTTGGTTTGGAGTATGTGAGGGGGCAGCATGACTCTCAAAATGGTTGCCATTGCAACTAGAGGAAAAAATTCCCCGCTAGAATCATGACCCCGGAACGTATCCCTCGCCCCTCCCCTCTCGCCTCCGGCCTCGAACAACATGGAAACCAAACGTGTTCACATGATCCGACTTACCAGTGTGTGCGCGCCCGGATAAGAACTGCATGCTGTGCACTGGATTGTGGAGGGTCGGAATTCCGTGCGCCACGTGACACTTTTACGCAGCATTTTTTCCGTGGCATCCAAATCCCAATTACGCGATTTGAGAAATCGAATGTACCTGGCCGAAGGAAAACCCAGGGGGAATTCGTAAATTAAAATGCAACATGCCACTCGTAGGCAGATTGGTGATTTTTTTGCCCGAAACGATACACACACACACACATGCCCGTGTTTGGGTCGATTCGATTTTCGTTTTCCTCGCAAACATGGTCAGTTTGTATGGGTGAACGAACCAAACGGAAAATTTTCCCCCATCCCACCGGAAAATGTTCCGAATCATTCATTTTTAAAATTGCGTGATTGCCAAAACAGATGGAAAATGGAAGTGAACCAAAGCTAGTGTTTTGCCATGGGTTTAGCGTATAACAAACAAACAACCAAATACAGTCTGTGAATGCGTGGGCAGTACAGTGTGGAAAGATTTCATCGGGTGCCAATATATTAATAATGAATAATTTTTTCACTTCTATTTTTTATTTATTGAGTTCAGAAATGTACAATTTGCTTTCAGGAAGGGAGCAGAGGTCATACAATGGCTGCCTGGGGGAATATAGCTAACTTGAAAATGGGCGGCAGTGGTGTGTCTTTAACTCAGAATCTTCAGATGGTCAATTCGATGACCTTACCACTGGACCACCGCCAACCATCAAAATTCAATGTAAGATCGAAAGTCGGATGATGACGATGATGATGATGACGACGATGATGGTGATGATGATGATGATGATGATGATGACGACGATGATGGTGATGATGATGACGATGATGGTGATGATGATGATGATGACAGTGATTATCAATATTAATTTTAAAGCGATGAAGCTCGCCTATCTCTATCCCTCTCTGGTTGCACCGCTTCCAAAAGCAGATCACCGGGGGGTTACCACGAGAGGTGGAAAAAAACCCTAATGATACTTGTTTTGTCCCCTAAACTTGTTTTCTCAATATTCCCAGCCTTCCGACGTTAGTGGCCTAATGCCTTAAACAGTTTACCCAAACGGTAGCATTTGGAAATGTATTCATCTAATTTATGCCGGCTCTGGTACTGTCAACAGAAAAAGACAAACACTTATGGATATTGCGAATGTTATAGTGTTAACAATACAGCAATGTCGGTAGAGAATTATATTCGCCGAGGTTTCGGTTACTACCGACATCGCTGTGCTGTTAACATTATAACATTCACAATAAAATAACACATGGCGCATCGATTTTTCGATACACCCTAACATCATTTGGTCCCTGTGTTAAAAAAAGCTTATGCATATGAGTTACACATGTCAAAACTAATCGTTCGAAAGTATGTTCATTATTCCATTTCCGTGATGTTTTCCATGATTCGTGCACTGTGAAACATAAAAATGAGAACCGCGGAATAAAAGAAACAGACATATAAGAATAAATAAATTTTACTAATCCACAAATCATTCACTGGAACATAGTCCTCCGCGAACTCAAACGTTCCGGGTAACTAATTAATTCAGATCCTCAGCTGCATCAAAATGTGAGAGACCGCGGAGTGAAGAACTGAGCCAACTTACCACAAGGCGAACCACGTTCATTCGAATCCGTACAGTTTGAGGTCAGACAACCGCGGCAAACAGCGTGTTCCAGTGGGAATTCGTCAAGGGTCGGACGTCCCCGGGTATACCTGTGGTGAATCTAGATTACGAAATGACGCATACTACAGAGCGACACGTTACAGTTTCCGGACAACTGTGATCAATTAAGCTTCCCGGGTGATGTCATCAAAGCGCGTGGGTGTCACAGCTTCTAGACTATAAGCCATAGGCCATTTGTACCAACCAATCAGAAAATGTGCAGCCCGATCAGTAGCTGAATAACGGCAGAAATACTAGCATGCGATTGGCAGAGGCTTCGATGACCAATAAGCTTGTTCCGTATATATTATTTAATCCCCCTGATTTCTTTCAATAAACGAACTGCTATTCCTGTAGCCTACCCTCGCGTCTCGGTTGAGTGGGATACTGTCTTGTTAGTACCATTGTGATCCAGTGCTTACGTCTCCTCCGTGATTTCTATTTCGTGATTCGTATTTCGTGAGCAGTGCATATTACAATTAATACAATACCGTGACTTGGTGAGTATGAATTTCACCATGGTTTTTCACACACACACACACGCACACCAATTCATTCATCTCACACTATTGTACTTCACATTTTGGCTTATCACTACGATCGTGTCTATCATCTTGTCATAGAATTGACCGCATGCTTTGAGACGGACAAAGTGAAAACTCACGTTTCATCGTTTTCCAAAATATCCGGTTCATCTGGAAGACTGAGATCTTTTGTGGCTTGCCGGAGTGATTGAACCAAGGCGGAAACATCGGGCGTTTTACTCATGATTGGCAGACCGGCCGGCTGAAATTTCAGTTCTGTGGATTATTCAACTGGTCACACGTATGACTTGATGGTGGTGACCTACAGAGAGGAATAAAATAATGCAGGTAATTGTTCAAAAAATTTAATCAATCAACTATAGTGATTGATGAATTATACCATTCATCAGAACTTGGAAAGTTTCACTCATTGCGTTCAATCGGACTCGAGTGAGTCCGGATGCTTGGAGGAGACTCCATGCTTGAAACCGCAAGTTTATGGTAAAACTTCTGAAAGCCAAATTTTGTACACACCTCATGTGTTTGAAAATATCTGTCCACTACCTACCTCTCCCCACTAATGATCCAGTAAATTTTTCGGGCACTGAATACGATTTATTATTTGATGTGGCAGCTATAGTATGGATTGACTGTTGCTAAGATTGTTCTCCCCCAGCTGGAACGCTAAGTTTGTGATGAATAATATCGTGTACCCAGTAAGGAAAGCTTGCATGTGAATAGTCGAAGACATTGCACAGCTGTTTCTACACTGTTCCGCCTCATCAGTAGTGCAGGTCGGTCGATGTGATTCTGGATCGGACCCTGGACCTCAAAGGTACAATGAAAGTGTACTGTTGTGATAGTTGAAGTAGGCACAAATCTTGAATTACAAATCACGAACCACGGACGCTACTGGAACCCTGCATCGCTCCAGCTTTTGCATGCTGGTATCGCCCGTAACCGAGATGCAAGAACAAAGCGACAGAATTAGCATTTCACTTATTGAAGGAAGTTAATGGGATTAAATAATGGGTACAAAGGACGTTGATTGAATATACAGGTAGCCTGCTTGCATTTTTGATGTCATACAGCTTCTGTATGAACCGCACGACTTCTGATTGGTCGACACAATTGGCCTGTGGTTCGTCGTCCAGGAACTATAACTCTTAGGCGCTTGGCTGGCGTCATCTGGAAAGGTTAACTCACCACAGTTGTACTGAAACTGCAACGCGTCGCTCCGTGGCTGGCGTTATCCTGTAGGTTGGGATCATCACAACCACACAAGTCAAAACAGGGAAGATTATGCTTGTTCCGGGCATTCTAATTCACTTGAAGGACCGACATTTTAGCTGGCGCTTTTGTTTTCTCTGAGCACAATGAGAAACGCATCACATGATCAAAAACAATCTTCCACCAAATCAGTTTTTCTTTCCAAATGACATGCAATGTATTGACCTCTGTGTCCATTCGTGACAAGTTGAAATCGTCTGAGAATGTGTCAAAGAAGTTTCCTCTGAGTTCACTAGCTTCATTAACCTCTCGCTCTGGTCAAACCATCTACAGGTTCCCCAGTCCAGTTGGGTTAGCAACCCACTGGCCGGAGTCTTCACGCAATGGCATGATTGTCGTGATTTAAAAGCCGTCGGAAAACAACTGTGTGATCTGTTCTGTCACAAAGGTGCTCGTAACATCCGATTGTTAAAAACTGGTGGTTCCAGCCCAAGGTCTACAACAGTCATAAGAGGTGAAACCAAGCGAATATCATTGGTGCAACTCATCCCGCTTTCATCTTAATCACGCGTCCATCAGTAACAAATAGCATTCAAAGTTCATGCACGTGAGTAAGTTGATTCTGCCCACACCATCGATCTGGAAAGAACTCGGCCGTTGCGTTGTATCCGCTCCAAAATCATTCACAACAGTACACCTCTTATGAAGAACGGTTGTTGATTTAAATATTATTTTCTGACACCCCTTCCCCCCTCCTCGTTGACAGATTCTCGAGCCGCGTAAGGGACGTCACAGGTTTGGCAATTTTGTGGCTGGAGGTTTTACAAACATTATTGCAGTCTCGTTCACACTCGCTTCGCTTTGGCCAGTCTTGTTTCAGGGGCCTTCCTTAACCCTTGCTCGCTGAAAACTTTACTTTGAGCAGAGCAAGCTTATGGCGACACACTGCAGCCTGAAAAAGCCAGTGCTCGCTGTACTCGTTGCCTTAATAGTATTGAAATTCTATGGAATTCTCCGTTGATAACTCAACACCTCTAGTACTTGGTCAACCGCATACGAGAATTTCCACTGGGAATGTACATGCGTGTTTACAGTCTAGGAGCAACATTCAGTTTTATTGCTGTCCCTATCAAATTCGTTTGCAAAGCCCCACGCATGATTTCAACAAAACGGTTCAGTGTTGAAGTTTTGTCAAATTGGATCAGTCGATTTGAAATCAACATCAGTTTTGCGGAACATGGGGTAATAATTGGGATAAT